AATCAATACGTTAACAAAGGATCATAATGTCAATGAATTAAGATAAGTATAATGTTTTTGTTATGATCATTAAACATGATACAAGGGGTAAATAAAATGATTAGTCGATTCGTCAGTCATAAATAATAGAATTACTTACTCCTATTACTCCTCGTGAAGCATAGGCCACCTACCAGGACTCTCCAACCTACTTCTTCCTGGGCACTCCTTTCCAGTTATTGCCAGGTTCCATTCATTTAATGATGTCTGCCTCTTTTTCTTTTGCCTTCAGGATTCCAAGTTAAAGCTTGTCTCGTGATGCAGTTTGGTGATCTTCCCAATGTGTATCCTATCCACCTCAAGCGTCTTCTAATTCCTCACTTAAACAAAATCTAGTTTATCCTCTCCCACAGTAGGTTGTTGCTGATGATGTCTGGTCAACAGACATTGGCTATCTTGAGTAGACAACTGTTTACAAATACCTATTTCTTGTTGATGATGGTTGTGGTAGTTTCCCAAGATAGAACCCGGTATACATGTGCATCAGTTTCAGTTGCCCCTTTATATTAGCACAATTAGATGAAATTTTCAGGAAAATTTTCTAGAGTATTAGGAGTGTTAACAGTATCAAGGGTAATATGAAACATCACGCATAAGCGATATGATTCGAGATGATAGGATAAATTCGCGGAATACAAAAATATAAGATAATTTAAAACTCGACATATAAGGTTTATCTACGCCATCGTGATTAATTTTGAGTAGTCTCATCTGACTTTTTCAAAGATTGCTTATGATAATTGCGCCAGCTCGAACCAGGTTGTCTTTGCACCTTACAACATGACTCAGTTCTACTACCGAATAGCCACAGAGATTGATATAACGTCTTTATTTGATCTGCCCCTGTCTTCCACTCTACACCGGCTAGCATCACACTTCCAGGTAATGCATTTACTTGATAAACATAACCATTCCAATCGATAAAGAAGTATAGTGGTATTTACTCATTCATTCATCCATTCATTTTGTTTGATATTTTCTTACCACTAAGATCATTCTCATTTTTACCTAATCACTCACTTTCTTTGTGACGAATATTTGAATTAACATTTAGAATCACAAGTAGGATGTTTAATCATGTTAGTAATTTCGGTTGAATGATTATTAGTTAGTTAGATTAAAGAATTATATTCTATAATCTAAAGTATAGTAATTACTCAGTGTGTAGAGCATATTTTGAAACATAGAAATTCTTATTTCAGGACAAGTTATTGTATAAAAACTATGTCCATTAATTTATTATTATTATTATTTTATTAGCGTGGCATGCATTTTATTATTATTCACTCTTACTAGGATTGTTCGCGTTCCAACTTTATTACGGTGAATATATATTAAATGTGAAGTAAATGCTCTTAAACTTGAGTTTAGTACGATTTTATTACATTTTATTCTGTAATAATTTCAATTAATCCCTTTGGAATTGTGAACAAAATTCAAAGGGTATTAAAATTAGTTTATACTTTTTAAAGTATTCCACTAACTAGTACTTTCAATCTCAACCAGATAATAATAGCTAATAATAATATTACTTTATACGAACTCACCTGCCTTAAAAACTAGTTTCTAAGGCAATATAAATTTCAATAGTTGAAATCATGAGTCAATTGAAGTTAGACCACCATGGAAAACGTGGAAGCACTGAACGGCCGCTTCGTCCTATTGTGGGACTCCTTAGCAGTGCTCATCCACGATCCTGCCCTCCGTGAGGTTCGAACCCAGGACCTATCAGCCTTGCGCGCGAGCGCTTAACTATTAGACCACTGAGCCGACCGGCATCCAATGGTGTTAATGTCTAACTTCAAATAACCCACGAAATTCCGCCACCATCACCATTGTCTTCAATAAGCTGATATTTCACAACAGACCTGGTTGAACTCCACTGGTCACAGCTCCTCACTAGAAATCCAGGAGTATCTTTTGAAGTCAGTCACTAGTGAGCAAATGATTATTATCAGAAGGGGGTTTTGTGGAGATTTTTGTAATTTCAATAGTTGAAATTACAAAAATCTCCATAAAACCGCTTCTGGTAATATAAATTGTTAGATTTAAGATCACTTTAGAATTATCCAATATATTGATTGATTTTCTTATAAACTACTAGTTTCCTATAAAGATCAAAGTTATTTAATCATATACTTATTTGAAAATAAATATTAATTGTTCGAATATTTCACTTTTGTTTCTTATTTAGAATTTAAAAAAAAAGACAAAAGAAAACATCGACAAAGTATACTTTCTACAGTCAATAGTGTTATTGTCGTACTATACGTTTACGTCACAAATATAATCTTTCTTCCGATGATATATATATATATATATATATATATATATATATATATATATATATATATATATATGCTTAAATGAGTGAACACTTATATTGTTTTAATGTATAGTTGTTTAATGTTCAATATTTGTTTGTTTAATTCTTATCAAGTTTATCCATGTACCTGAACATATAAATACACTTATAAGTAATGCCGACATTTTGTGAAAAATCAAAATAATAGCTTTTACAATGAAACTATGAAAATGATTTTTAGTTGACTGAAAAATACTTCAATGTTTTAATGACTATAAATTTGTTATGTAAAACAGTTTATATTAGTCTAGTCAGTGACCATCTGTCTTTAAAGTCAGTTGAATCTTATAGAATTATCATGTGATAGATAAAATGACAACTTTTCTCCTAGAAGTTAAACGTTTAAAACATAAAAAGAAAAACTAATGATATTGTAGATTAAGCAACATCAAGGCCTGAACATTATAACATTTTCTTATTAATGCATAGTCAATATACAATTATACTAGTATCAATATAAATGCACTGATCATGAATCTACTTATTAAATAGATAAAATGTTAACAAAATCTAGTGTTTGCTGAACGCCTTTAGCAAAAAAAATCAAAGTTTTTGCACCTACTAAATGTAAGATGATTTGATTTGAGTCAAAACTACATGATGATCAGTCATGTGAACTACTTTTGTTGAATCCTAAGAGTGACCGATTGTTTGGTGACAAAATCTCTTCAAAAAATCAAAAGGTTTATTTAGTATTTAGCAACCTACGTCATTTATAACATCATAAAGATATCTTGCTTCCTGTTTAAAGTATGCAATGACTATTATTAGTGGAAGATATGTACAGATAGCAGATATTATAGAACCACAAAGTGGGCAGCGCTAAGGTTAGATAAAGGAATATTAAATCTGCCGTTGAAATAGCAAACGTTTGCCAACCGAAGCGAATAGATGCATTACACATTTCACAACATGGTTTAACGAACACATTAGGTTTTTTCTGAAGTAATACTAAGTTGGGAGAAAGCAGTCTAAACGTGATGAAATTAGTTGAGAAGATCACTGCCTGTAGATCTGAATTTTGTGAATAAGTGTAAATCTGGTTTGGGAGTTTTTGGTAGCCTGGGTCAACCGATTACAACATTGGAAGGTAAAATGACCAGCACAGGTAATTGACCAAAGTTTGGTTTGAATTTCTGAGTAAACATATATTTATTTACAAGTTAGTTCGTTTTGGGTTAGCTAATTACAACTTACTACTCACTATTGGGTTTCACATTCAAATATCAGGTTGGGCTTAGATATAAGAAGTGTATCGGAACTTGGACAACTACCCCATAAAACAATTTGTGCCGAAAATAACCCCAATAATTTAAGACACCATAAGATATAATTCAAAATTGACCACAATATTTTACGAGCATTCCCTTTATACTCTTTAATAATGAATCAATTATTCCTTCTTTTCAGTTTAGTTTCCCATAGTTTCATAAATGTTTTTAATTACTTACTTAAGTATCCAATTTGATGTTTTATTCTCTGTTCGTGATTAACATCTCTCATTGTATTTAGTTCAGTTTTCAAATGGAAATATTGATCATGTTAAGTTAAATAATTATAAATATTCAAACTTATTCATCTCATTGTTTGTCAGAAGAATCAATAGGAAATGGATAAATTGTATAATAATAATAATAATAATAATAACAATATGTATACATATATAATCTGAGAACAAAAATTACAGAATTAATGCCAGTTTACTTATCTGATCTGCTTGATATTGATAGTAATATTAAATGTAGAGAACAGACATGTGATAAGCAAACTTATCAACAGTAGATCGGTTAATTGATTGATCTAAAATTGAACTATTAATTGACAACCAAGCTAGAAAATACTCTGATGTATGTGCTGAAAGTTAGGGTTAGCTACAGACTGTATACTTTAGTTTACAAGATCAGGGGAACTAATGAATACATATAGAGTCTGCTAAACGTAGAAGTCCAAATTCCATGCAATATAGTATATAGAGTCCATTACTACTTGTAACTATCATTTCAATTTTAATTCTATAAGATTTTATCACAGTTTCTCTAAATTGATAGTTACTTTGATGTGTTTTTTATAATATTAATAATTAGGCTTATTTAGATTTATTAATTACCATATCTATTATTGTTCATAAACTAATGTCACTCAACTATAAATTTACCATTTAGCTTTATAATAAAAATATTTTAGTTATTTGTCTATTATGATTTAGAAATTCTCATCTATTATCGTCTTATATTTCATATACATTATTACGTGATTATAAGGATTATAAACATATGAGCTGATGAATCGGGTGTAGAGTTCCCTATAAAGTTACTAATGAATAGCATATAAAATACTAATAAACGTATTCATTTAATTTCAACCTATTCACAAAATGTTATATGTCTAACTTCAGGGTGGTGTTATTTCTTTTTTTTTTTTAGTCAGCCAATTTAAATATTCATTTCAACCATCTTCAAATTTGCACGATACATTTCAGTGTAATTGTGTCAATGAATTACTTAGCTTATAGATGAAACATTTTATCCAATCAATTTTTTAACTGAGTTTTTCTTTTTGAATTAATTCTTTACCATTTTCTTTATTTGTTCTGTAGATATGACACTAATGATGAATATATTGAAGCATGTCACAAACATCACTGTGAAGACAAAATTCACGAAGACACAAAAAATTATGAAAATACTTTAAATAACCAATTTAATGCTTTATTGGTTTCTAATATCACCACTAATCCAACTGTTACAACAAATAACAATTCTGTCAATAATTCAACACTATCGAATTCACTGAAATTAATACAACAAACAAAATCTAATGAAACATTTAATGATTTGCAGATTCAATCTAATCCTGTAGATGCAAAATCTCACTTGATAATTGGAGATGATTCTATCGATCATAATGATGACGATAATAATGATGAAAAGGATGAAGAAAAGCATAATTCACGTCAGAATCATGTGAAATTTGCATCAGAAGCTGAATTTTTCTCACCTTCATATTGTAGTGAACAGGCAACTTCAATAAGCAGTTTCACTGATTTATCTCATCTATCTAACTTTACTACTATTACAACAACAACAACAACGACAACTGTCAATATTAGTCCTAGTATAACTGATACTACTAAGTTTGATCTATATACTTCACCTGGAACAATGACTACAATTTTAAATACGTCATCTTTACAAATTTCCAATTTAAACAATGACATAGATAATATTAATAATTTTCAAATGTATAAGGAATTTTTAGATTTAGAAACTAAAGGGGATAATAACAAAGAACAAGAAACATTATGTAATAGATGATAATTTATTTTGATTAGAAAAAAATTGATTATAATAGGAAAAAAAAGCACGTTTGACAAATGATCAATGCAAAGTTGTTTACTTATTTATTTACTTGATTGAATGTTTCAAGGTTATCATTATTTTAGACCAATATTTTTTAAAATGTTACAAATCTATACAGGTACATAGGCATATTCATTAAAAGTTATTAGCTAATTATCATCATCATATATTCATTTTGTCAAAATAGGTTTATATCATTGAATCATTGAGTACAAGTAACAAACTAGTACTATTGAATATAACTTTTAGTTTAATAATCATTAATGGCAAATATTTTTTATCATCAATATCGTTAACAATGTTTTAATGAAATTATTATTTGATATTAGTTCTCGGACTTCCAGTGAGAAGCCGTGATCAGTAGAGCTAATCCGTGTCGAGTAGAGACAGGTATCTACCTCAGTACAATCGGAGATGGTCGTGCAATTTCCTGGATTGGTTGAGGTTAGACATTAACATCGTTGGATGCCGGCCGGCTCAGTGGTCCAGTAGGTTAAGCGTTCGTGCGCGAGACTGAAGGCCTTGGGTTCGAATCCCGCGAGGCGGGATCGTGGATGCGCACTGCTGAGGAGCCCTACAATAGGTCGAAACGGCTGTTCAATGCTTCCAGACCTCCAACGATAGTTTAACATCAATCGGTTCATGAACTCATTCAAAACTAAATTCAAAAAACTTATTTCAGTTTCATTCTGTCTTTTATTTTTATTAAATGTTTGGATGATACTATAATTTATGAACAAATTAATCAGATTTAGGATTACAGGTTTTGGATATTAGCGCAAAATCTACTTTTACATTTAGCCGAATAGTGTTTTGGCATTATAGCTTATGTAAGTTTATGATGAAAATTTTAAATGTAATTCCTAACCTTAACCATCAAGTGTAAATCATAATTCTAATTCTTCACATTGGTTTATAACCATCGTTTAGTTCTAGTTACTAGGTGGACATTCTCAAGGTCGATTAAGCGTCTCTCAAAGATCGTCTATAAATTATAGTCTCACTAATATTGATTAAAATGAATTACAAATATCAGCACAATAAAGGATAGAAGCATTCTAAGCGGAAAATAAACGTTTGAATTAATTTTGCAAAATCTTCCATTTCTAGTTTAAGAATATATACATATAGATATATCCAAATACTGAATAAAACTTTTAATTATTCATCTAAATGAAGTGTTATTTTTTTTAAGTAAAGCAGTGCCAACTGACCACAATAGTCAAAGAATACATCTACACTTGCTTGTATGTACATGCATGTACGGAATAAACACAACCAAATTGTTAATGCAAATAATTTTTAATCAATTGAATAATTGATGGGTGAAAATAATAACATGCTTATTAGTATTATCCATTTATTTCAGTTGAGTGAATCTATTTGGAAGTAAATTAATTTAGCAAATAAATTTGGAACACTCTTCAGATAAACAAACAATAAAATACATAAGAGATTTAATATTATTTCGTTTAATGGATCTTAAACACAAAATTTGCAAAAGCTTAGCTTCCACTATAGTACATAGTATTTCAAGGAAGCTTCCAAGTTGTGTGCCTATTTATATTGAATAGCCACTGAGTAATAACCAATACCGTGCTTATCTATTTTGTATTGATGATGCAATTAAATCGATCAAGTTGTAGCATGACAACTAATTTTAATGACTTGACTTGTGGACGCTATGGTTTGATGTTAATTAATTAGAGGATACATTGAACCTAGGTTTCATGCTGGTTGGCTGTTTCCAGTAAGAGATACTAGCCAACTTGATGGTTAACTGACAATCTGACATAGTGGAATACTGGGTTATTAGAATTAGAATTTCACAGATAGTACCATTTCCTCTGAATAACGCAACATCTACGTTCAAGACTTCTTACCGATTGTTGTCAAATCAATTAACATCAAAATACTATATATCCGTGTTCTAATTACTCTAAGCACAACAGTAAGATCACTGTTTAAAATCTTCCAACCAAGCTTATGGAAATAATTCCGTGATTTTTATCTTCCATAACTTTCACCTATTGCTGAATCGTAATAAAAAGTATATTTCCCCCCTCATACAACAAACCACATTCGTGTAAATATGTTTCCTAACAATTAGCATCTTTACTTTTATTCTCACAATTGTCAGAATTAATTTGATTTTATAATTTTGACATTTTTCTCACACTATTTCCATATCTGATTAATGATTAATTCTTTCTTTTTTTTTAAAAAAAAACCTAAATGACAACACTTGTCCTGATTTTATACACATTCACAATTTCATGGGACAATCTACTACTAATGACCATATACAAACAATTACATCAATTTCAATCACTGTCAATTATTAATAGAGTAAATTCATACACTAAGTTAGATCATATTGTTTTCCTTCTTTTCTATTATTCATATTATGTCGTTCGTTCTAATTATTTTCTAATTGTAACTGTAAAACGTGATTTTGAAATCACTACAAATAAATATACACTTGTTTAAATTCTTGCAATGAATAACTAGTTCAAGTGTTGTACAGTTTTAGTATACCATTATTAATTATTTCTATTTGGGACATATTTATGATTGAAAATGATAATAAGTTATACATTGAAAGAGAAAATATTAATCAAATTGTGGATTATTTGAAGTTAGATCTTAACACTGTTGTATGCCGGCTTAATGGTCTAGAAATTAAGTGCTTGCGCGCGAAACCGAAAGTTCTGGGTTTGAGTCCCTCGAGCGGGGTCGTGAATGCGTGCTGCTGAGGAGTTCCATAGTAGGACGAAACGGTCGTCTGGAGCTTTCAGGCTTTTCATGGTGGTCTAACTTTAATTCACTCATAAACTCAACTATTAAATAATCAAAATGTATGTAGCGAAGATGCGAATAAATTTATGTATTGATAGGAATGTGGTAAACTGTTGCTCATCCAAATATCTCACGTTTTACTATATATTAAGTACTTACTCATTCCAATAAGGATTGTGGTAACAAGTTATGTCAATATGAAATAAACTAATGTTATATTCTTATTTTACTATTAAATATATCATTTTATTATTGGTGAAATGAGTAATAAACAATATTGCGCTAAGTAGACATCTGAACAGTTTGGGATGCTTCTGTTAAGATAGTTTTCCAACTAACAGGTATAATATATGAATGCCAACATGGAATATGTGTGAAATCATCAAAAAATAAATATATATATATATATATATATATATATATATATATATATATAATTTTTTTTCACAAATATTACTGTTAACATATCTATGCCAATCAGAAAAATAAATACTGTCGTTTGACCCAAAGTAATCGAATGGCCATAATTCAGTGATTATTTTCATAGTATACTGTGAACGAAATCGTTAGCCAGACGGTTTGAACCTGACGTAACCAAGTATTTCATCCAAATAAAATAATACATAGAATTCAACTTCCTAGGTTTACTATTATATTGATACTATAAATTAGATTAGTTAATTGTTTACGAGAAATAGGTAATCTATTTCATCACTAAAAAAGTTAACAGAATCATCTAAATGAAGTCAAACTACAGTTGCTGAATTATCTCTGAGAATACAATGATGATCAAGTTGAATAAATTGAAACGTAAAATTGAGCAGTTTTTTTGTTATTTGTAAATAAAAATTGATATGTCAGATTCATGTCAGATTTGTGCAAGAACTGATTTATTAGTTAGTCACCTGGACTATGAGATCTGTTGAGATTTTATTAGTCTCATATGGTTTATGTTTAATCTTTTCCACTACAACTAATATTACTACTCCTCATAATATGCTGGTGGTAATCTTGATAATTTCACTTTACTGTGCTGATGTTGTGTGCCAACTTGACACGGTGCATATGTGCCACTTTGTACATTTCTTATGAACGACTAATAGTTATAACTTAAAATTGATTATGGTAGTTATCCTCATGTAGTTGCGTATTGTATTTTTTTTACAAAGCGTCAGACCGAAATCTATCGTACGCGTGCTCATATCTGAAATATGCCCCGTTCAATTCTTGTTATCCTTGTTTAATTACTAATTTGTTGATTAACAGATCTTCCCTCTTTTATTCGCTTACGACACTAATTTTATTTATTTTTCAGTGTAACTACAATGTATGGACGAAAATGACTGATTCTTAAGTTTAAGTTGTAACTTAAAAATTACATTTCAGTCGGTGAACAAGGAGATTGTAAAATCAAAAGTACTTTTAATAAGAGTAATGAAATTTGTAACTTTATCATTATTTCAGAGAGTTTATTAGCTTTTAAAGGTTTACGACTAATTTTCAAAACTTAATATTGTCAAAACGTCGTTACACAATCTCGTTTATTTAAGTGCAAATATATTCGTACCAAAAGATTCTTTGTAAAATTTTTTCATAAATAGTCTCATAGAAAGTTTATCCTCATCTATCGAATCTTTATTAACGAATGAGCTGATAAGTTAACAAAGTTGTCTATAATTCAGTAAAATAATAAAGTTTGGAGATTGTTAAGTTTTTGATTGAGATCATGAACCAATTAATGTTACACCATCATTGAAAACCTGGGTCCCGCTCGCGAGATCATGGATGCTCACTGATGAGGAGTCCCACAATAAGACAAAATGACCATCCAGTGCTTCCAGGTTTCCAACGGTGGTTTAACATCAATCGGTTCATGATCTCAATCAAAAACTAATAGTGTTTTGTTTCAGTTTGCCATGAACAAAATCAAATCGAAACAAATCTATCCTTATCACTAAAATTGCTGAGACTTAACTAATAATTTTAAACGTCCAGAACGCTATACAAAGATATTTCTAATATACTTTTATGTTATATAAGATTATAGTTATTTATTATTGAGCTTTACCCAAAGGCTCAAAAATAGTTTACTAGATTATGGTTGGTTATTTTTTATCTTATAGTTTCACACTCCATTTCATTGTCACTCGTTATAT